CCCCCCCCCCTAACATTGGTGGTGCAGTGCACCAAAAACAGTATACTCAAACCGCCTCTGATACAAACTCGTCTCAAACTTAAAAATATTAATCATTAGATATATTGAAAAATTTGTTATAAGTAGTGATAAAGTTATTCAAAATATAATGGTTCTTACATATATGTACTTATTATTGATAGATATTGGGTGCATTGGCTAAACGAGGTAGTAGTATTGAAGATTTATTGTCTCTGGGTAAAAATATCAATGAAAAGCTAGCATCGCTTGGAATAAGTGCAACTTCATGTAATGTTCCTGGTGAAGAACCGTCATTTTTACTTCAACAAGGAGAATTTGAATTTGGAGTCGGATTACACGGAGAAGCAGGGACTTCAAGAATTAAAGTAAATTAAAGTATAATTAAATACATTTCACTTATTAAACAAAAATATAACTAACAAATAAGTAATAATTAATAACAAGGTAATAATAATAGTATAATACCTATTTATTGCACGCAGGCCAAGATTAAAACAAAATATTACTCTAAGAAAGATTTTCTAGGTACTTTTGGAGTTTGCACACACCTCTTGTATTTTAGAYTACTTTAATACATTATTTTTGCACGGATGTCTAATTTGTATTTTGAAAAAAATTTACATTATCAAAATAATAGTTTTATTCTTTAATAATTGATTATTAGCTTAATAAACTAAATATATATTTTTTTAGTTTATGCGCTATCAAAATAATTTATGAAAATATATATTAAGTACCTAGCTAAAAGTTTTACTTCAATATTAAATGAAGATATCACATTTACACAGACTTCTTTCAGTGGTAATATGTTATACTTTTTAGCTCTTTTTACTATACTAAAAGTATTCATTATTTTAATTTCCAGTAGGTATAAACGAGATATTTATTTTAAATATTATTTCCAAATTTAAAAAAAAAAACGTCTTCTTAACTATCATTCTTATTTGAACATCCTGAAGAAATTTAGAGATTTGTTTTTTGACATGTACCTATACATTAATTCTAAATAGGTACCCTATAACTTAGAACCTTCAATGTCCTTTGGATATTTACATTATGAACATTGATTTTATTACATAAAGTAGGAATACAAAAKTCACATATTTTTTTAATACATTCTAGGGAAATATTTATTATATTAAACATTAATCCAAGCCCGATTGTTTATTAAGACTTTACTTAGGTACCAATGTCTTGTTATATGATATACATAGATACTAGATAGTTAGGTGATTTATATGTATGTACAATTTATCTAACTAATAATAATCAATATAATTATAGGCATGTGATGTGAAAGATTTGATTCGTTTAGCAGTAGATAAGATATGTAGCACCCTAGGTTTGAAAAAATTCAGTGTAATTTGCTTGATTGTGAATAATCTTGGATTAGTATCACATATAGAGTTGGGTGCATTAGCTAAATACACTAAAGAATATTTTGGTATGTATACAATAATCTATTTATTTTTTTGTTACTAATATGTATAAAATGGTTTGTAATTTTTACTTTTAACTAAAATATAATACCTAATTGTTAATTAATATGATATACTTAATAGTTGATAAGATTAATCTAAATGAAATAAAGATGTTGGTGGTTCTCGAATTTTTAAGTTTTTAAAAAACTTTAAATCTTTTTGGTCCGAGGAGCTTTAAGCTCAACCATCAAAGCACCTAATAATGCCATAGTTATTAATGTAACTCAAGATTTACAAATCAAAAATATAATATTAATTATGTGTAAAGTAATTAATACAATATCTTATGACRCCTTAAGCCGGTATTACACTGGATTGACATTGGTCGATCAACAAAATACTGTATCATGTCAAACGTGTTGTCGATTTGTAGATTTACTATTACATACGTTCAACATTTATAAAAACTAATATAACGCATACCGTTACCCATTGTCGATTCAGTTTCCTTTGATRTTTACCGACTTTTTATCGATCAGGATTTCTGTCAATCGACATGAAAGTCGTACGGAATTCAGTAGCAGATGTCGATCCAGTGTAATACTGGCTTTAGTGTTTTATAGAGTCAAATTAAAAACTGCTAATTTAACGACTGTACATATAAAAATAATAATAATTAATAATTATGATTTATCTAGTGATATCTACGTATTTTCTAATGTTTCATTGAGTATATGCATGTAATATTATAATAAATAGTAATTTTAACAACCATTTATAGATGAACTTAAAATCGACGTTAGTCGTATGTTTGTGGGAACATTTATTGTGTCTCTAAATATGTATGGATTTCAACTATGTGTTATTGATGTTAGTGACAATCAAGAATGGATTAATTATATAGATGAAGATACATCAGCTTTTGCTTGGCCAGGAAATCATATGAGTATCAAAACAATTGAAAAACAGAAATCGCAAATTATAAAAATTCCAAAAATTGACGATATAAATCCTAAAGTAAGTATAACTTAAGTTGAATAATCTTATTATTATGTCTGAATTAAAGCTGAACACTAAATRCAAATACATAAAAAAAATATAACATATGTATAGGATTACATATAAATTTAATATAAATACAAAGCATTGTCTTACTTAGATAAGTACAAATTATGTCTTAGACTCTTAGTTCATCTTGGTATAGGCTATGRCATTGTATTATATTATTATATTATTATATTTTCTCCTTTTCTCCAAAGTATTTTAAGCGTAAATAAAACCATACAAGATCTCTTTATATATGATATTCACAGACTAAGTTTTAATCTTAAGATATCTTTAAAACTAATTATATTTAACATTAAATTATATAGGAAAATTAAGTTTGTGTTTTGATGAATATTATAATAAAAATAAAAATAATTTCAACCATACATTTTTTGTAATGAATAAATAATGAAGTGTGCATTTCTGTAATCTGTATTCACGTTTCAAAATTTATAATTTTATATTTAAAAAAAATATTGTTATTTATTTTCTATTATACTTGATGTTCTATAATTTCAGTTATAATTATCATAGGTTAAATTAGTAAAATCAGGAATTATTTATTACTTTTTCATTTATTAATTTAAAGTTTAATGTGATAATATGCAATTTAATACAGTCGACTCTTGATAATTCAAATAATTACAATGCATTTATTTAAGTACACTCGCTAATAYGAAATTAAGTTTTGAGAAAACTGGTCAATAATATCTATGTGACAATTCGAAGTATCATCCGTTTAACAATCGGTTATTCAAAGCATATTTACCAAATGTAAAAAATTATGGAAAAATGAAACTAAATTCAATGAAACAGAAAACCATCACAGATTCTGGAAAAAATAATAATCTTTTATAATAATAATTTAATTTAAATAGTATAATATTATTATATAGTTTAATTTATAATTTAAAAACAATATATAAGTAATATGTACCACCTAATTTGCTGAAGTAATTAACACGTTGACTGCCATGCAACCGCCGGTTTCCTTAAGAATGTTTATCATGGGTACGCCTAAGACATTTTTCAGTGTCATTRTAAATTTGTATTTGTATATACAGTGTGTTTTCTGATTTTGGGAATACTGAATTTCTTGGCCGGATTTGTTGGGAATAAAACAATTTTTTATTTACAAATTGGTGGTATATGAATATACATTTTTCGATACATTTCAAAATTTTTTGAGAATTTGGTCTGCACATGCGCAGTAAAAACTTTTTTTTTTAATAGCAACACTTATTTTTAACGCCATATTCGGGTAGGCCTATTTTTTAAAGTAATTTTCATGTATCAACTATGGCTCTAAATTCAATATTGACTGAATAAGAGCCATGTCAATTTTATTAAATAACAAAAATACAAAATTATTTATATTAATATACAAAATTATTTATTAAAAATCAACTAGGTACAACTGGTACAAGTGAACAATAGTTATTTTATAATTACACCATAAATTTAATAAATTGTTCAAAGTTTACTCCGTGATTGTCGAAGTATAATTTAAAACACTGTAGACATCCTCTATTGGTTGCTGACATTATTTGGTTTTTGGTAAGGTTATTACACGCAACCACAATTTTATTTTTTAAATCTGCTAGATTTACTGGTGGATCTGCGTAGACTATTGTTTTAAAATTTAAAAAAATCGAGTGGAGTAATATCTGGAGATCTTGCTGGCCATTCAATGGGGCCATAAGTGCCAAACCATTTTCCCTCATATACCCGATTTAAATGATCTCTAATAATATGAGCAGGAGCTCCGTCGTGCTGAAAATAGAGAGAAAACTTTGAACAATTTATTTAATTTATTGTGTAATTATAAGATAACTATTGTTCACTTGTACCAAGTYGATTTTTAATAAATAATATTGTATCCATATTATGTTAGTCTTATTTATAACATTTCTAAAAAAAAAAATACGCACAARTATTCAAAAAGTAACCAATAATAATTAATTTTATAAATTTTTAAAAATGTATTATTTAATAAAATTGGCATGGCTCTTATTCAGTCAATATTAAACTTAGAGCCATATTTG